ACGGAAAAAAGACAAAAGAAAAAAAAAAAAAAAAAAAAAAGATCAGTCATCCTTTATTTTAGGTTGATGGTGGATATCTTCTTTCATTTCACTTTAAAATTTAAAATCTTTACCTACCAAAGTGTTGGGTATTAGAATGAAGTATTTCATATACATCTCTCAACAGGGCCTAGAAAAGTTTGGTTGTCGTTGTTACTTATGTATAAAACCATTTTGTATGGCCCCAAAATGAGGTTTTGCATATCTTGCAGCAATAGCAGCAAGACAAAATCATCTAAGCTGCCATAAATGGTGATGTTCATGTAAAAAGATATTTTTGCAAAATAAAAAGGCTGAGGCTGCTCTTTAAAAAATGCCCGGATTTTCAAAGTAAAACATTCAAAATCATAAAATAAATCTTTTTACCAATGAAAAATGACAACTCTAAGGAAAAAACTATTATTCAATCAATCAATAAAAATGCCTCTAAATGACTTGACTATCTTACCTCCACAACAAAGTAAAATTCAAACTTATGAAAATAAAGGCCATCCTTCTGGTGACTAAAATCACTGAAAATTTTTCATGAATGTTTCTATGAAAGCATTTATTAAGAAATCCCCAAATTAATTTAATTGCTAGATTTAATGCAAAGATATGCATATATTCATTATACTAGCCATTTTCTTATTGAGACCTCATAAAAACATTTTTAACATGCATCGGCCCAAAAATTTTGCTTTGGATGAACTACTCAATCTATATTGGAGAGGTCAAGACCCATGAATAAATTATATAATCTCATTTTAATAAAACCCAAAACACTGCAATCTAAACTTTTAGTTATTTGATGCCTTAAGCAAATAGTTTAGATAAACACCATTCATTTGAACTTTTCTGCATGCTTTATTATTTAGGCTCTGTTATTATCTAGGCTCTCTGAATCATCTTCATAGTCACATGTTGAGTTCTTTTCATTGAGATTCTACAAAATTGCATAAATGTCAGAGCTATAAATTCTAAAAGCAAAAAGAAATTCGGTAACTCACACAAGAAACAGATAATCTGAACAGGCCTGTATCTATCAAAGAAATTGAATTAATAATAAATAACCTTCCAAAACAAAAAGTACCAGGCTCAGATAGGTTCCCTAATGAGTTCTACCAAACATTTAAGGAAGAAATTAGACCTATTCTATACAATCTCTTTCAGAAGATAGAAACAGAGGAACTACTCCTTAACTAGTTCCATGAGACCAGCATTACCATATTACCAAAACCAGACAAAGACATAAGAAATCTACAGACAAATATGTCTCATGAAAATAGATGCAATAATCCTCAACAACATATTAGTAAATCAAATCCAACAACATGTAAATAAAGAATTATACACCACAACCAAGTGGGATTTATCCTAGGTATGCAAGGCTTGTCTAAAAATCAATTAATGTAATCCATCACATCAACATGCTGAAAAAAAAAAAATCACATGATCAATAAATTCAGAAAAAGCATTTGATAGAATCCAACATCCCTTCATGATTAAAAACTCTCAGGAAACTACGAATAGAGAACTTCCTCAACTTGATTAAAAATATCTACCAAAAGCTATACAGCTGATATCGTATTTAATGGTGAGAAACTAGAAGCTTTCACACTAATATCAGGAGAAAGGGGCAAGGGTGTCCCACTCTCCACATCTTTTCAACATTGAACTGGGAGTCCTAGCTAATGCAGAAAGACAAGAAAAGGAAATAAAAGGTATATAGATTGGAAATGAAGAAATAAAACTGTCTTTGTTCACAGATGACATGATTGTCTATGTAAAAAATCAAGCAATTATAGAAAGGTTGCACGATACGAAGTTAACATACAAAAGTCAATTGTTTTCCTATGCACCAGCAATGAACAAATGGAATTTGAAATTCAAAACACAATACCATTTACATTAGCACCAAAAAGTGAAATGCTTAAGCACAAATCTAACAAAATGTGTACAAGACCTATATGAAGAAAACTACAAAACTCTGATGAAAGAAATCAAGGAAGAATTAAATCAATAGAAATATACCATGTTCACAGACAGGAAGACCCAGTATTGTCAAGATGTCAGTTCTTCCAAATTTAATCCATAGATTCAATGCAATCCTGATCAAAATCCCAGCTAGTTACATTAAGGATATCAACAAACTGATTTTAAAATTTATATGGAGAGACAAAAGGCCAAGAAAAGCCAATACGACACTGAAGGAGAACAAAGGTGGAGGACTGACACTGAGTACTCAACTACAAGACATACTATAAAGCTACAGTAATCAAGACAGTGTGATATTGTTAAGAGCCCAGAAACAGACCCATGTAAATACAGTCAGCTCAGCTGATCTTTGAAAAAGAAGCAAAGGCAATACAATGGAGAAAAGACAGTCTTTTCAAAAATAGTGCTGAAACAGGTGGACATCCACATGAAAAAAAAATGAATTTAGACACAGAGTTTACAAATATTAACTCAAAAGGACCATATATCTAAATGTAAAACACAAAATTATAAAACTCCTAGAAGATATCATAGGAGAAAACCTACATGACCTTGGGTATGGTGATGAATTTTTGTTTTTTTAATTTTTATGTTATTTTTTATTATTTTGATTCCTTTTACTGTTTTTGCAATGAGGTTTTTTTTTTTTTCCCTTTTTGTCTTTTTTACTGACTGGTAATGGGATCGCAACCCTCGGTGTCGCGCCCGTACCGGGGACCGGCAACGGGATCGCAACCCTCGGTGTTGCACCCGTACCGTGCTCAGCCAGTGAGCAGGAACCGGTCTCCACATGGGATCCGAACCCTCGGCGGGAGTGCCGCCACGCTCCCAAGCGGCGCACTCTCCAGTGCGCCACCGGGCCGGCCCAGGAAAATCTTAACTATAAGGTTAAGTTTGGTAGAGAAGCTAAAAATTCCATTTCACAAAAAATTTCCGAAATTTCAATACTGTTTACATCTTTGTTT